TATTCCTATGTCTCCCTTACTCATTGTCTAGTTTTTGCATACTAGTGAAGCAATTGGAAGTATCATATCTTGGGTCAAGCACACCTTAGTCCTCAAAGTGACATTCCTCTGCACACTCCATCATGCTTTAAAGAGAACCAATAGCAGATTTTCCCAATACAATGTGTCATTTGAGTACTGACTCCTGTTTCCATAGGCATTGATTGTGGACTAAAGTAAAGTGAAGTCTTTGACAACTTCTGTTAGTTTTCTCTGTTTATTATGATGTTGTGTATTGGTCCAGTTGTGAGAAATATTGTTTTGTTTATGTTGACATGTAATCCATACTGAAAGCTGTAAATAGTCTTTGATCTTCATCAGTTAGAGCTTCTAGTGCCTTTTACTTTCAGGAAGCAAGTTTGACTCTTCTGCAAATGAGTCTGTCTAATTCTGATGCTGTATTCTTCATAATATGGCTCAGTTCGAGATTATTTACTCAGCAAACAGATTGAATAAGTGGGTTGAAATGATCCAATTCTGGCACACTTTCCTGATTTTAAACCATGTGGTACCCACGTGTTCTGTTCCAACAGCTCCTTCTTGGTTTTATAGGTTCCACATGATCACAATTAAATATTTTGTAATTCCTGTTCTTGGCAATGTTACTCTTAATTTTTTTTATGATCAACAGAGTTGAATTCCTTTGCAAAACCAAGACAACACAGGTAAGCTTATTTTTGTATTCTGTACTGTCAGCCAAGATCCTTCCGACATCAGCAGTGAGACCTTTCATTTTTTCCTGAATATATTTTGAATTTTTGACAGTTTCTGTCAATGTACCATTGGAGCTTTTTTTTTTATCTGTTTTTTTTTGTTTATCTATTTTTACTTAAAATTTTTATTTTAAGCTGGTATACTTACAAAGTTAATATACATAGTTTAGACAATGAATCTTTCCCCTTTTCTTTATCCACCCCTCCCTCCATCCATCAAATTGTGTGACTCTATGATTAAGCACTCCCTACTCATCCTCACCCATCTGCTCCCCACCCCGGCTCTGCTTGGATCGTTATACACAGTCTACGAGAATAGTATTACACAGTATTTGTCCTTACGGGACTGAGTGAGTTAACTTAGCATAACACTCTCCAGTCCCTCTCAAGTTAGGTAGTAAGTTACAAAATCATTGTTCCTGCACGCTGTGTAGTATTCCTTCATGTGAATGTACCATAATTTTCCCAGTCCATTAGATTGTGGTTGGATATTTAGGCTGTTTCTATATTCTTGTGATGGTGAATAATGCTGCTATGAACACTGGTGTACAAGTCGCCATTTGGGCCTCAGTTATCATTTTTTCAGAGTGTATTCCAAGCAGTTGGGTTATATTGAATTTCTGTGCTCAGCTTTTTGAGGAAACACTAAACTGCCTTCCAGAATGGTTGTCCCATTTTACAATCCCACTGAAAATGTATCCTATGTTCCTATCTTACCACGTATTCGCCAACATTTATTACTTGCTGTTCTGTTACACTTTGACAGTGCTACTGGGGTAAGATGGCATATCATTGTGATTTTGATTTGTTACAACTATTTTTGAATCAGCTTCAGCAAAACTTTACTTGTGTGTGATGTTAATTATATCGTTTGGTACTCAGATTCTATTGTATTATATTTTTTGAAATGGGTACAAATATGGATCAGTTCTAATTGCTTGATCAAGTAGCTGCATTCTGAACTTCTTAGCATAGATTAGTGAGCACCTCCCACATTGCATCCCATTTGTTGAAACATTTCAGTTGGTATTTCATCAATTCCTAGAGCCTCGTTTTTTTGACCAGTGACTTCAGTGCATCTTAGACTTATTCCTTTAATATAGTTGGTGTTGAACAGATGCACACATATATGCCTTCCTAACATGGGTGAATTCTGTTTCTTTTTGGTATGGTGATTCTATGTATTCCTTCCATCTTCTTTTGATGTGTCCTTTGTCGTCCAGCACTCACAGAATCCTTGAGCATTGCAACTTGTGGCTTGAATATTTTCCCCCAAGTTCTTTTAGCTTGAGAAATGCTGAGCAAGTTCTTTCTTTTTGTTTTCTAACTCCAGGATTTTGCACATTTCATTATAAAACTTTACTTGTCTTCTCAAGCTGATCTTTGAAATCTGTTTTTCATTAAACTTTCATCTTCTGTTGCTTTAGTTTTCTATATTCAAGAACAAGCTTCACAGTCTTCTCTAATATCCCTTTTGATTTCTTTTCTCTTTCTTGTCTTTTTAATGACCTTTGCTTTCTTCATGTATGATGGCCTCGATATCATCTCACAACTTTGGTCCTTGGTTCAATGGATCAAATCTATTCTTCATAGATCCCTATCAAGGGATTCTTGATAGGCCCCTAAATAATGCTTGAGAGGCCCCTAAATCAAGTGGGGTATACACAAGAATGCACTTTGGCTCCCATGGTCTTGTAATTTCCTTCAACTTTGGTTTGAACTTGCATATGTCTATTCCTTAGTCAGTTTCTGACTTTAATCTGGCTAAAGACTTCATATTTTATTTCCACAGATAAAATAGGTTTTATATCTATGTGTTCCATCCATAGAGGTTTTTGTGTATTGCTGTTATATGCCAAACAGTTGCCTCCAACCCATAGTGCCCCTACATACAACAGAATGGAAGCTTGCTCAATCCTGGGCCATGCTCACAATCTCTATTGGGCTTAAGTTCACTAAGTTGCATATCATGTGTCTACTCATCTTGTTGAGGGGACTCATTTTTTTGCTGTCTACTTTTCCAAACATGATGTTCTTCTCTAGGGACATGCCCAAAGTATGTGAGATGGAGTCTTACCATCCTCGGTTTTCAAGAGCACCCTGGTTACAAAACATCCAAGATAGATGAGTTTGCTATATTGACAGTCTATTGTATGTTCGATATTCTTTGTCAACACCACAACTCAAAAGCATACATTATTATTTAGTCTTCATTATCCAACTTTCACATGTATGTAAAGCAATCGAAAATATTATGGTTTGGGTCAGGCATACCATAGTCTTTGAAGTGACATCCTTGCTCTCTACCATTTTAAAGAGATCTTTGCCAGCAGATTTGTCATAGGCAACACATCTTTCAATTTTTTTTAGACTGTTGCATCTACTGGTGTTGATTGTGGACCTAAGTAAAATGAAATCCTTGACGACTCTGATCGTTTCTCCATTTATTATAATGTTTATTGGTTTAGTTTTATGATTTTTGCTTTCTTTAGATGAAGTGTAATCCACACTGAAGGCTAAAGCCCTGGATCTTCATCACTGTTTCAAATTTTGTTTGGTTCTCCACAAGAAATGTTGTGCCATCATTTCACAGGTTTTGATTAATTTGCTTCCAATTTTGTTCATATTTGTAGTCACCATACATATTGTTGGAAAAAACGGTATTTGTGATATGTTATTGTTCTTGCAAAATTCTATTATCTAATCTGTACGCTAATTTCTATTACCAAGACCCTTATTTTCAGCTACCAATCCATTATTTTCAACTTTCATATTTCCATTACCAGTAATTATTGATGCATCTTTATTGTATGTTTGATAAATTTCAGGCCATTGATGTTGATAAGAAATCTTCAGTATTTTTATTGTGGGTGTCAATTCTTGGTGTGTAAATTGGAATAATAGTCACATAAAGTGACCTTCCTTGTAGGCCTATGAATATTATCCTACCACTGACAGTGTTGTATTTCAGCATAGATCTTGAAATGCTCCTTTTGATGATGAATATGATGGCATTCTTCTTCAATTTGTCATTCCCAGCATAATAGACTGTATTACTGTGCAATTAAAAATTGTCAATAGCAGTCCACTTAAGCTTACTAGTACCTAGGTCATTAATCTTTATGTGTCCTATTTCATTTTTGATGACTTCCAATTTTCGTGGATTCGCACTTGTACATTCCATGCCCGGATTATTAATGGATTTTTTGCAGCAGTTTATTCTCAGTTTTAGTTGTGCCACATCAGCAGATGATGGCTCCTGAAGCTTCTCCATCTAAGTCTTTAACATTTCTGCTTTAATGAGGTGCTCTTCCCCAGTGATAGTTTGACTTCCTTCCAATCAGAGAAGCTAATTTCTGGCACTCTATCAGAGAATCTTCTGATATAAAGTATTCACTGGCCAATTTTTAAAGAAATGCATTTACAGGTCTCTCTCCCTTTCTAATCTGTCTTAGTCTGGCAGCTCTGCTGACCCTGCTCATGTTTGAAATATTGGTGGCATCATTTCTAGCAGCAGGCAATCCACCACAATATGACATACTGAGAAATAGATGGTGGACCTTGGGCTACAGATTTGGGTTAACATTCTTTTCACCCAGGAAGGTTCTCTCAATCAATAATGATTGACTAAATATAGCTGCAGACTTAATTTATTTTCTTAAAATAATAATAATAAAGTTTGTCCACAAAGTAAAGTTTACTTCCACATGGCATTATGTTGTTATTTTCTTAAAATAATAATAATAAAGTTTGTCCACAAGTAAAGTTTACTTCCACATGGCATTATGTTGTTGTTGTTGTTGTTATGTGCTGTTGAGTCATAACTGCCTCATAGCTGACCCTCGGTGGATTATCAGAGGCTGTACATTTCATGGGAGGAGATTGTTCATCTTTCCCTCTCTGTATTGTGCATGGAACTTCTGGAAAATTCTGTCTGCCTTTGGGTTAGCAGTGCAAGTCTTTACCCACTATGTCACCAGAGCTCCCTAAACAGCATTATAGATGGCATCTATTGGTCAAACTTTGGCAAAAATATGAATGATGTGATGATTTAATAGAACTAGAGGATGACTATTTTGCAGAATCTGGCTTGCTAACTCCAACTATCATAAAAGGAGAAGCAGACACTTGCTCATTTTTACTAAAAGATATGAAGATGCTAATTTACTATTAAATTGAAAAGAGACTTTAGTTTGATGTAATACATTGGTATTACATTTAAAACTCTTATTTTCCTCTTATATTTAGATCTTTCTCTGGAATTAAAGGACTACAGCTGAAAGTTAACCTCCAACCTAATGACAATTATTTTTTCTACGTGAGAGCCATCAATGCCTTTGGGACAAGTGAGCAGAGTGAAGCTGCCCTCATTTCTACCAGAGGTATTTCTCCTTCCAAGAACCAGGTTCTTTTCTTTCCTTTTATTGTCCAGAGAAGGGACTTTACAGGGAAATGTCATCAACTTGCTGCCAGCACTAGGTTTTTTGACATGAGGCAAAGATCAAGGCCAAAATGAGTCAAAGATCAAGATGCTGCGGTATTTTTTGTGGTTTAGAGGGTCTTTCTTACCTAGGCTGTTCATTAGCAGTCAGTCAGAGAGCTTACAATTACTGATACCTGGACCACAAATCTAGAGATTCTGACTTAATTGATCTGGAAGTTAGCCCAGACATAAGGTTGGTTTGGTTTTTTTAATAAATCTCTACAGAAAAAAAAATTAGCACTCTGGTTGCATTTT